TGGAACAATCCTTGTGAACCAAGGAAGCTGCAGAGCAAAGCCAGGCACATGAAAGACAACTGAACCGAGCTGGGGCAGGCCACGCCCTTGACCTTGAAGCCAGTCTAAAGGAAATGCAAAATTGTCACTTGGAGTCGCTTCTCCTTGGGTGAGCTCAGTGTACACGTGTTTCTCGGGGAGTGTGAGAAGGACGGACACAAGGAATCCCAATGTGGCAGAGCAAACATTTTCTTAGTCAAAAAAAAAAAAAAGAAAGAAAGAAAAAAAAATAGTGTCAGTACTTATAAGTTGTTTGGTATTGATACATTTGAATGTATTTGCACAAAGCGAGACTCTAAAAAAAAAAAAAAAAAAAAAGATGTTCATTCTTACATCCTTCACCCAGCTCCCCAAAACTTAACAACTTACATAACCAGTTAATCAGTTATCAAAATGAGGAAATTAACATTGAGTCAATACTATTAACTAAAACTAACTGTAAACCTTATTTGAATTTCACTGATTGTCCTACTAAACTCCTTTTTCTGGTCCAAAATCCAATTCAGGATCCCATGTTGCATTCAGTTTTTGCATCTTCTTTGCCTGCTTTAATTTGGGACTGTTAACTCAGTACTTCATCTTTCATAACCTTGACACTTCTAAAGAGTCTGTTATTTGGGGCTAGTTATTGTGTAAGATGTCCCTAAATTTGTGAAATCTATTCTTAAATAATGGTCTCTCTCTTTCACACTCCTTTGACCAGAATTCTGGAAGGGTATTGGGGTTCTACATTTGTGAGCAAATGTTTGCTAGGTGGAAAATTGGTAAAATTGTGCCAAATAAATACTTATTTCTTCTACAGTTCAGGAACATGCTGAGAAACAAGACCTCATGCAGTTAATCTCTAGAAGCCTATATGAGTGTGAAATACAGTCATTCTTTTCAAAGCTATCAAGTAGAGTACAATCAATTACAAAACATAGAAAACCGAACTCAAATTGGTTTAGCCCCAGAGAAAATTTATTGGTGCATGTAAACTAAGAAAACTGGAGGTCAGTTGAATTTCAGGGAAGGGCTGACTCAGGATCCCAGAGTCTTTCAACCCTAACTTTACCTGCCACAGTACTGGCTTCAACTCAAAGCTGGCTCTCTATGTGGTTACAAAGTGGTTATCAATAACAACTGGGGCAAGATGCTCTCTCTTCCACATCCAGAAAGCCATTGAGAGTTGCCTCTAATCCAGTCCCTAGAGCTAAAAGATGGAATGTACTGATTGCCTTAAGCCACCTATTCTTGAGCAGACAAGAGGACCACTGTCACCCTATTCACATGTGGGGTGCTGCTAGGAAGGGGGGAGGAGAAATGGGTGCTGTGTAGGCAATTAACGTATGTCCCCCCAACCCAAGCTGGAATCTCTAGTGGTAGAATTGCAGACAGGTGTGTTTATAGGGGCAGAAGATTCCATGCCTGTGTGTTACAATGGTTGCTCAGTCAATGCTAAGATGGACTTAGCCAGAATGCCAGAAAGAACACAGTCTGGGAGAAATTAAGCATAAAAACTGGGAGGTGGTGGTTTGTAATGCTTTAGTATAATGAAGGAGGTCAGGAAAATTTCATCCCAAAATATGACTCCTTGGTATAAAGAATATTTTGAATTAAAGGCCCTTCAAGATCAAAAAGCATTGGAAGGGGCTTTCCCTCTATTTGCATAACCGAACTGACCCGTCAAAAGAGCAATTGACGTCCCTTCTTCTCCCAGTTATCTCAATATATTGCAGGAAAAAAACAGATCAAGAATGCAACCAAAAATAAAAAAAAAAAAAAAAAAAGAATGCAACCAGACCTGGCCCAAATCCTTTAAAATATAATATCTGTCTTCCAAGTTAATTTAATTTGCAAAGACAATCATTTACAAGTCAATCTTTTCCCCCCATCCATTTATCCTCCCTAGTAACCATGTATTGCTCCTAAACAGAATTATCTGTAATCCTCATCTCCCACTCCCCACTAGAAGGATGGTATAAAAATACCTGCATCCCACTGGGACATTGAGTAATCAATCACTCTGTGATTCTTCCCATGAGCATGGTAAATAAACCTCTTTCTTTTATTAATCTGCCTTAATTGCAAGTTGATCTTTCAATGAACTTTTGGGGGAAAGGGAAGTTTCCCCACACCCCCAAAATAACATTGTTTTTGGTGTTTTGTGCAATATTGACAATGTGGAATAATGGTAGGCACTATTTGAAACATGAGTCCTCAGGCAGACAGTTTTGAGAAATGTTACCTATGTCAAACATAGTTGTGCCTCAACTCACATTTCCTTGGCCCACAGATTTAATCCAGTCATTGCTGTGCCAACCAGCCAAGTGCAGGTACCTCCCCTCAGCCATCCCATGTTCCTCTTGTTTTCTGTCTCAGGCTGGGACCCCTGCAGGAACATGTTGGGTGCTTCTGATGTATGCACAGTCCTGGACATGTGACAGAGGAAACACCTAAGGGGAAACCTTTGATAAATGCGGGATGGAGCCAGTGAATAAAAATGCCTCCTTCTATCTCTCAAGTGGAAAGTTCTGAGTTACATTCTACACAGTGGAACCCTATCCATGTAGCATCCCACGGTGGCCATCAACTCAATAGCCCACTTTTGGATTGGCTTTTTTTCTTTCCCTCTTCCACTCTTCCCATTCAATCACTTTTTTTTTCTTAGCGATAGGGTTTTCCTCTGTTGTCCAGGCTCAAACTCCTAGGCTCAAATGATCCTTCTACCTCAGCCTCTGAAGTAACTGGGACTACAGGCAAAGGCCACCACATCCAGCTAATTTTTTTGTTTCTTATACAGACAAGGTCTCTCTACAGGCAATGTAGCCAAGACATGGCCAAGATCACTTTAAAAACAAAATAAAACAAACAAAACTGCTTACACACAAATCCTTGTCTCAGGCTCAGCTTTTTGGAGTAACCTAGGATGAGATTCTAGATGAAACAACGAATTTATCAAGTATAGACTTCTCTGAGTCCTTATCTTTTAGTGGACAGCATGATATTCTAAAATTGTTTATAATATGTAGCATTTTCTAAATGTGTTGAAATTACAACACTTTTTCTTTCATGACCATTTTGTGAGGCTAGTGTTCTATAAACACATTTTAGGCAAGGCTGACCTAGACCGAACAACTTGTGTCTCATGTGATGTGTTTGTGGTAGTTGGTCTCCAAGAATGACCCCTTAATGAGCCTCTGCTGCTAGCCATGTCCTCGTGTTGGCTCACTCCCCATTCTCACATTAAATCTGGGCTGGCCTGAAACTTGTGTTGGCCAATAGAACAAGCAATCACACTGCAGGCCTACCCTTGAAGATGTCTGGCAACTCCCACTTTCTCCTTCTTGGAATGCTTAACCGTTGGGAGCCTTGGGCCACCATTTAAGAAATCTGGCTACCCTTTTGGAGAGAGCATGTGGAGCAGCCATGTGAAAAGAAGAGGCCCTGAGAAAACAGAGTGGAGAAAGAGACACAGCTGTCCAGCATCCCAGCTAAATCTCCAGATGGCTCCAGGCTCACCCACCATCTGACTGTAACCCAAATGAGACCAGATAAATTGCCCAGCTGAGGCCAGGCAACATATAGAAACATGAGTATAGGCCAGGCGCGGTGGCTCACGCCTGTAATCCTAGCACTCTGGGAGGCCGAGGCGGGCAGATTGCTCGAGGTCAGGAGTTCGAAACCAGCCTGAGCAAGAGCGAGACCCCCGTCTCTACTATAAATAGAAAGAAATTAATTGGCCAACTAATATATATAGAAAAAAATTAGCCTAGCATGGTGGCACATGCCTGTAGTCCCAGCTACTCGGGAGGCTGAGGCAGTAGGATCGCTTGAGCCCAGGAGATTGAGGTTGCTGTGAGCTAGGCTGCCGCCATGGCACTCACTCTAGCCTGGGCAACAAAGCGAGACTCTGTCTCAAAAAAAAAAAAAAAAAAAAGAAACATGAATATAATAAAATGTTCACTGTTTTAAGCCACTAAGTTTTGAGGTGGCTTGTTATATGCTACAATAGATGAGAGAAACAGTAGTAGAATAGAGCTGAAGAACTATTGCCTTTTTTTTTTTTTTTCAATTTTTGAGACAGAGTTTCTCTCTGTTTCCCCAGCTGGAGCATGGTGCATCATCATAGCTCACTGCAACCTCAAACTCCTGGGCTCAAATGATCCTCCTGACTCAGCCTCTTGAGCAGCTGGGACTACAGGCAGGCATGCCCAGCTAATTTTCCTATATATTGCAGAGATAGGGTTTCGCTATGTTGCTCAGGCTGGTCTCAAACTCCTGGCCTCAAGTGATCCTCCTATCTAAGCCTCCTAAAGTGCTGGGATTACAGGTGTGAGCCACTGCACCTGGCCAGAACTATTTACTTTAGAGCTTCCAATGTGGAGCTCTAAAACAGGGACTTAGGTACAAATGTTCCATCATTTGATTTTTTGCTTGGTAGTTTCTTGCTTCTCTTAATGTTAGCTACTAAGCTATTTTGGTGGGGGATGGGAGGAGGCTCTGTTAACATTTTACTACAGAAGTGTGAGTCTCCATCTTAGCTACTATTGGAGAGAGATGAAACCTGTTTTGAATTCCAGATCTTTCAATCTATTTTTCATGGTTTCTGCTTTCACAGCATTCTCTCCAAACTTGTGGCAGTTCTCTGAGGACTCCACCTTTCCCACTCTTAGTTCATGTGCTGGATCCACCGTAGGTCAACAGGGGAGTTTGGATACAGGTCTGGCCAATCAGAGCTTCCCTTTCCCTAGCCACAGTGATTGGCTCAGGGCATGACGATGATCCAAGGTAACCAAGCTAAATCAGACTTCTGCTTCAATGACCAAAAACTAAGCATGTTTCTTCCACTGGAATTGGGGTGGGAACATCTAAGCAATAAAACTGAAGATTATATATTGAGCCAACACACCACACACTATGAGCTCCAGGCTGGACCTCTCTCTTAAAAGCCAGACATGTTTATCCAGTGGTTTGCTTCACATCTCCATTTACATGTTGAATAGGTGTTGCAACTTAGCATGTCCAAAAGCAACTCCGGGCATCTGCACATCCCAAATATGCTTTTCCAATGGTCTTCGCTATCCCATAATATCTCCACCATTGACCCAGTTTCCTAGAACAGAAACCATGGAGTTACACTTAACTCTTCTCTTTCATTCACATTCAATCCATCAGAATACCCTTTGTGTGCTCTACCCTCAAAGAATATCCAAAATCCAATTACTTCTCCTTTCCTCCACTGGCCTAGTCCAATCCATCATTATCTCTTGCCTGGATTATTCCAACAGTACATATCATTTATTGGTTTACTTATGCCCTCTCCTGCCACTAATATGTAAGTTCTATGAATATTCTGATGAATGTAAATTCCATTCCATTCTTCGAATGCAGTTTTTAGTCACCATTATGTTATAAATATAATGCTTTATTCATGGTATCCCTTGTGCCTATAACACCATTAACACATATTAGATATTCAATCGAGATTTGTTGACTCAATTAATAAATAAACACAGAAGAAGGTGGTCAGATTATGGAAAGAGACAAGATGCTAATGTCACAGTTTGAGCTCCTTGATCCACTTGAACCTGAAGACCTGTTCCAGGCTTTGTGATTGCATAAGCCAAAAAGCTCTCGTTTTTTATTGTGCAAGTTTTGAGTTGTGTTTCCAGGAAGAACTTGCAACTGGAAAAACCCACATATACTATGTAACTAAATGTCTTTAAACATCTTTTCCAAGCAACAAAATGGTAAAACTATTACTATCTGACTTGCCTATCTCAATAGGCCTGTTAACATTGGCGAGGCTCAAATGAGTTACTATATATGGAAGCACACTGCTGACTTCACCATAATTCTGCGAATGTGTGAGCTATCGTTACTGGCAATTATGTGAATACTAGAATCTTAGCATTAAAAGTAAAGTTAGACTCCGAAGCTGAAATCATTCAAGCTATCAGAAAAATCGTTCCAGCTGCCCAAGTTTTCACTCAGGGATAGGAAACAAACCAGCTCCACTGCGTAAACTTAAAGGGATGATGGAGAACTGGAACATCAGTGCTTTACAACTTTAAAAAAAGAAGAAGGTAGTGGTAGAGTGTGTTTTCTGGGGGCAGGTAAGGTAGGGGGACTTAAAGACTACCATGCCCAGACTTCTTCCTTTTATAGAAGAGGCCAAGAAACCGTCAGCTTTTTGTTCAAGGTCACACAGCTACTTTTAGTAGCAGAGTTGGGACCAGCAGCCCAAGTTTCTTGGCTTCCAATCCCATGCTCTTTCCAACACCACAAATGTACAATTTCACTCTTCAGATGTTTTTGTTTTTCCTTCCTCTAAATTTTTGGATATCAATTGTAGATTTGGAGATCAAATTTAAAATCTCCTCCATTTCAGTATTTGACTTATGGAACAGTTTGTAGGCAGGGAGGGAGACAGAGAGGAAGAAAGTCTTATTCCAGTATTCCAAAGTTTTCCTGCCCAAGAAAATCTCAAGAGTTCAAGCCATTGGCTTCCATCTATCCTTCGAAGGCCTGAAATGCTTTCTTCCAAAGTCTTTTGGCTCTGAAATCTTTAAATTACGTTGGTCTTGTGTTAATTCCCAAAAGCCTTTTCATAAATACTGAGCTATGTAATAAAAGAAGAAGAGGAAAATCAACTCTCAAGTCAAAAAGAAAAAATATCCACACAATTTCATGAAATGTGAGGAGTACATTAAATGGAGGGGGGTTGGTTGAGTGGAACAGAGGTGATCACAGGAACATTTGAAGATCTGGGGTCCATTTTTCACGGAGCCATTTCCAGGATAAGGGTCTTCCCTTGGTAAAATTGCAAAAGGGTGGCACAAGCTTTGGTACCGAGCCTCTGACTTCTATGACCTTTCTACAGCCACTATGATCATCTTGCTCTCTCTGTACCTCCCAATCTCTTCATCCCTTTTGAAATTGTAGAAAGATATTAAGTTGGCAGTTGTATATATGCAGATCTGAAGCTCAGAAGAGATACTTCTGAGTCATTCATATCTTGGGAATTGCCTCAGCTATAGGGAGCTGTGTAATCCAAGATCAGATCATCACCTTCCAGGGGCAGCCCTCATCCAATGACTAATTAATGCTGGAGTACAAAGGCCCAACATTTTAGTGGGACTCAGGACAACTCTGAAGAGCCATTCTGGCTTCTGAGCTTCCCAGGGACTGGCTGAATCTGTCATTATCCCTGCATTGCTACCCACTCCTGCTCTTTTTCCCTCCTTTCCTCAGGTGTTGAATTCAAGGACACTCCCCAATAAACATTCTGCACGCTAAACTCCACTTCAGAGTCTGCTTTCCAGAGAACTCAACCTGGGGAATTCTCCCTCATCTCCTTCTTGTTTCATCTATGCTTCTGTGTTCCCTAGTTCCTAACACCCTGATGGTACCCTCCACCTCCTTTTGCCCAGAACTAACTGGTTCTTGTGTTCAGGGTTTTCTAGAACCTGCCACTTCAGCCATTTTCTGTTGAACTTACCACCAGGAAACACCCTCCAGTTACCTGTTGAATCCTACTAGCCCAGATTAGAGTTTTTGGACTATGACATTAGTGGTAATTTTTGGACACTCTCTGTCTAGATGGGATGAACAGAAAGAATGTGTGGTGGTAACATACTGAAATAGATATTGGGTCTGCTGAAGTGGGGTATTCACAATCTAAGGCAAAGATATGATGTACTACCTATGTACACAGGCACCACTTGAAATCCTGTGAGTATGCCTTTGAACTGCCAAGTCATTGCTGAAATATCAAAGAGGGCACTATATAATATTGATGAGGTCTCAGATGAAACTCAGATAGAAAATGAGATACTATACATAGTTTTTTGGTTTTTTAAAAATTTACAGCTTTTTGCACAAATTCATTCAAATTTCCGACATTTGCACAATTCCTTAACTTGTAGACATATATACACTCACATTATTTTATTATTATTCATTTTCTTACTAACATTTAATTATTTTAAATTAACTTGTAATTTGTCTATAGATGATTCACTTTTTCAGTTGACTTATGCTGTTTATAAAATGTCCTGTCAACTACTACTTTGGTTAGATTTTGGAAATAGATATTTGTTGATTTAATGAATAAATGTATACAAAAGAGAGTGGTTAAACTATGGCACTAATGTCATGGTTTGATTCCTCGGATCTCTCTTAACCTGAGGATCTTATTCTATGATCTGAATGTACCCTTCAACTTCATGTTGAAATTTAATTGCCAATGGGATGGTACTGGGGGGCCTTTAAGAGGGGATTAGGTCATGAGGGCTCTGCCCTCAGAATGGATTAACACCATAATGTGGGAGTGGGTTAGTTACCATGGGGGTGGGCTCCTGATAAAAGGATGAATTCAGCTCAATTTTCTCTCTGCCTTGCTTTCACCCTCTCTTGCCCTTCATCCTTCCGCCATGGATGTGGCCCTCACCAGATGCTGGTGCCATGCTTTTGGACTTTCCAGCTTCTAGAACCATGAGCCAAATAAGCTTCTATTGTTTGTGAATTACTCAGTGTCAGACATTCTGTTATAGCAACACTAAACAGACTAAGACAACTTATCACTGAGCTTTTCAGTTACATGTGCTAATATATTCTCCATTTTAGCTTGTGCTAGTTTGAGTTGGGTTCTAAACAAAAGTACTTGCAATTACAAGAATGATGGTATGCCATGTGTTCTTGGGGAAGTCACTAAATGTCTCTAAACTTGTTTCCCAAGCAGAAAAATGCTTAAAACTCTAACGCCTGCCTACCTTGTATGTAGCAGATACAATCATATTCCCTTGAGCATTTCTACAGGCTCACCTAAATTCCAGCGACCAATAACTCAATCTTTTTGACTGGAACTCCTTGGCTAGACCAAACTCTGCTCCTCACTGCTTGCAGTCAGGCAGACTCCTGAGCAGCCCTCAAACAATACTTGCTTGTATAAATACCCCAGTTCCCTTAGCCCTCAGGTGGGATCACTTCAAAGTGGTTGTTCTGCCCTGTCCTCAAGAGTGCCCCAGTAGGATTAAGCTCTAGCCCTCCACAGTGATAACCTGCCAATCAACAAGCACACCCTCTTTGGGGGTTCCTTCCCTTCCCTTACTCAATCTCACTCCCCTCATTCCTGTCTCCTGATCTCATTGCAAATAGACTCCTGACATTCCTATTCCTGTTTCAGAGTCTCCTTTTAGGGGAGCTTAAATTAAGAAAGTTACACCTTTTCAATGCTTGGTAAACACAAACCTTTCTGTGTGATTTGCCTGTGATTGGGACATTGTTGAGTTTTGACTGGCTGAGATGGTTTAAACTCAAGTCATCAATGCACATTTACATGCATAAAAGTTGTAATAACTAATCTCATGATGAAGTAACATTGTCAAGCTCTTCATTTTATTCCATATACAATTGTATTTATTTTAAAATAACTCTCTGAAATGACCTCTTCAATAGAGCCAATCATCATTATCTCTTGCTGGATTATTCCAACAGTACATATCATTATTGGTTTACTTATGCCCTCTCCTGCCACTAATATGTAAGTTCTATGAATATTCTGATGATGTAAATTCCATTCCATTCTTCGAATGCAGTTTTTAGTCACCATTATGTATAAAATATAATGCTTTATTCATGGTATCCCTTGTGCCTATAACACCATTAACACATATTAGATATTCAATCGAGATTTGTTGACTCAATTAATAAATAAACACAGGAGAAGGTGGTCAGATTATGGAAAGAGACAAGATGCTAATGTCACAGTTTGAGGTCCTTGATCCACTTGAACCTGAAGACCTGTTCCAGGCTTTGTGATTGCATAAGCCAAAAGCTCTCGTTTTTTATTGTGCAAGTTTGAGTTGTGTTTTCAGGAAGAACTTGCAACTGGAAAACCCACATATACTATGTAACTAAATGTCTTTAACATCTTTTCCAAGCAACAAAATGGTAAAACTATTACTACTTGACTTGCCTATCTCAATAGGCCTGTTAACATTGGCGAGGCTCAAATGAGTTACTATATATGGAAGCACACTGCTGACTTCAACATAATTCTGCGATGTGTGAGCTATCGTTACTGGCAATTATGTGAATACTAGAATCTTAGCATTAAAAGTAAAGTTAGACTCCGAAGCTGAAATCATTCAAGCTATCAGAAAAATCGTTCCAGCTGCCAAGTTTTCACTCAGGGATAGGAAACAAACCAGCTCCACTGCGTAAACTTAAAGGGATGATGGAGAACTGGAACATCAGTGCTTTACAACTTTAAAAAAAAGAGAAGGTGGTAGAGTGTGTTTTCTGGGGCAGGTAAGGTAGGGGACTTAAAGACTACATGCCCAGACTTTCTCTTTTATAGAAGAGGCCAAGAAACCGTCAGCTTTTTGTTCAAGGTCACACAGCTACTTTTAGTAGCAGAGTTGGGACCGCAGCCCAAGTTTCTTGGCTTCCAATCCCATGCTCTTTCCAACACCACAAATGTACAATTTCACTCTTCAGATGTTTTTGTTTTTCCTTCCTCTAAATTTTTGGATATCAATTGTAGATTTGGAGATCAAATTTAAAATCTCCTCCATTTCAGTATTTGACTTATGGAACAGTTTGTAGGCAGGGAGGGAGACAGAGAGGAAGAAAGTCTTATTCCAGTATTCCAAAGTTTTCCTGCCCAAGAAAATCTCAAGAGTTCAAGCCATTGGCTTCCATCTATCCTTCGAAGGCCTGAAATGCTTTCTTCCAAAGTCTTTTGGCTCTGAAATCTTTAAATTACGTTGGTCTTGTGTTAATTCCAAAAGCCTTTTCATAAATACTGAGCCTATGTAATAAAGAAAAGAGGAAAATCAACTCTCAAGTCAAAAAGAAAAAATATCCACACAATTTCATGAAATGTGAGGAGTACATTAATGGAGGGGGGTGGTTGAGTGAACAGAGGGATCACAGGAACATTTGAAGATCTGGGGTCCATTTTTCATGGAGCCATTTCCAGGATAAGGGTCTTCCCTTGGTAAAATTGCAAAAGGGTGGCACAAGCTTTGGTACCGAGCCTCTGACTTCTATGACCTTTCTACAGCCACTATGATCATCTTGCTCTCTCTGTACCTCCCAATCTCTTCATCCCTTTTGAAATTGAGAAAGATATTAAGTTGGCAGTTGTATATATGCAGATCTGAAGCTCAGAAGAGATACTTCTGAGTCATTCATATCTTGGGAATTGCCTCAGCTATAGGGAGCTGTGTAATCCAAGATCAGATCATCACCTTCCAGGGCAGCCCTCATCCAATGACTAATTAATGCTGGAGTACAAAGGCCCAACATTTTAGTGGGACTCAGGACAACTCTGAAGAGCCATTCTGGCTTCTGAGCTTCCCAGGGACTGGCTGAATCTGTCATTATTCCTGCATTGCTACCCACTCCTGCTCTTTTTCCCTCCTTCCTCAGGTTGAATTCAAGGACACTCCCCAATAAACATTCTGCACGCTAAACTCCACTTCAGAGTCTGCTTTCCAGAGAACTCAACTGGGAATTCTCCCTCATCTCCTTCTTGTTTCATCTATGCTTCTGGGTTCCCTAGTTCCTAACACCCTGATGGTACCCTCCACCTCCTTTTGCCCGAACTAACTGGTTCTTGTGTTCAGGGTTTTCTAGAACCTGCCACTTCAGCCATTTTCTGTTGAACTTACCACCAGAAACACCCTCCAGTTACCTGTTGAATCCTACTAGCCCAGATTAGAGTTTTTGGACTATGACATTAGTGGTAATTTTGGACACTTCTGTCTAGATGGGATGAACAGAAAGAATGTGTGGTGGTAACATACTGAAATAGATATTGGGTCTGCTGAAGTGGGGTATTCACAATCTAAGGCAAAGATATGATGTACTACCTATGTACACAGGCACCACTTGAAATCCTGTGAGTATGCCTTTGAACTGCCAAGTCATTGCTGAAATATCAAAGAGGCACTATATAATATTGATGAGGTCTCAGATGAAACTCAGATAGAAAATGAGATACTATACATAGTTTTTGGTTTTTTAAAAATTTACAACTTTTTGCACAAATTCATTCAAATTTCTGACATTTGCACAATTCCTTAACTTGTAGACATATATACACTCACATTTTTATTATTATTCATTTCTTACTAACATTATTATTTTAATTAACTTGTAATTTGTCTATAGATGATTCACTTTTTCAGTTGACTTATGCTGTTTATAAAATGTCCTGTCAACTACTACTTTGGTTAGATTTTGGAAATAGATATTTGTTGATTAATGAATAAATGTATACAAAAGAGAGTGGTTAAACTATGGCACTAATGTCATGGTTTGATTCCTCGGATCTCTTACCTGAGGATCTTATTCTATGATCTGAATGTACCCTTCAACTTCATGTTGAAATTTTTTTTTTTTATTTGGCATATTATGGGGTACAGATTTTAAGGTTTCAATAAATGCCCATTTCCCCCCACCCCAAAAGTCTGAGTCTCCATCATGACCATCCCAGATGGTGCACACTCACTCATTTGTATGTATATACCACCCCCCTCCCCCCCCTCCCACGCCCAATACCCTATTACTGTAGTACCTATGTGTCCACTTAGGTGCTACTCAGTTAATACCAGGTTTCTGGAGAATATATCTGGTGCTTGTTTTTCCATTCTTGGGATACTTCACTTAGTAGTATGGGTTCCAGGTCTAACCAGGAAATATAAGATGTGTATATCACCATTGTTTCTTAGAGCTGAATAGTATCCATGGTATACATATACCACATTTTATTAATCCATTCTTGGATTGATGGGCACTTGGGCTCTTTCCACAGCCTTGCAATTATGAATTGTGCTGCTATAAACATTCGAGTGCAGGTGTCTTTTTTGTAGAGTGTCATCATGTTGAAATTTAATTGCCAATGTGATGGTACTGGGGGGCCTTTAAGAGGGGATTAGGTCATGAGGGCTCTGCCCTCAGAATAGATTAACCATAATGTGGGAGTGGGTTAGTTATCATGGGGGTGGGCTCCTGATAAAAGGATGAATTCAGCCCAATTTTCTCTCTGCCTTGCTTTCACCCTCTCTTGCCCTTCATCCTTCCGCCATGGATGTGGCTCTCACCAGATGCTGGTGCCATGCTTTTGGACTTTCCAGCTTCCAGAACCATGAGCCAAATAAGCTTCTATTGTTTGTGAATTACTCAGCGTCAGACATTCTGTTATAGCAACACTAAACAGACTAAGACAACTTACCCCTGAGCTTTTCAGTTACATGTGCTAATATATTCTCCATTTTAGCTTGTGCTAGTTTGAGTTGGGTTCTAAACAAAAGTACTTGCAATTACAAGAATGATGGTATGCCATGTGTTCTTGGGGAAGTCACTAAATGTCTCTAAACTTGTTTCCCAAGCAGAAAAATGCTTAAAACTCTAACCCCTGCCTACCTTGTATGTAGCAGATACAATCATATTCCCTTGAGCATTTCT